ACACTTCAGCTCTCAAAACTACATGGAGTAAACAAAAACAAAGTAAGTGTATTTATGCATCTGCTGCCTTTTGATGGGGAGAAATGCAGACTAAACAAAAACAAAGCAAGTGGATATAAACGCTTGTCATTTGATGGTGAGAAGAGCAGCAAGCAACATGAGAAAGGGCTTGACTTGTAGTGAAGTTTTAGAGATGATTATGCAGTCTGACCCCTCCAGCGAGCTGCAGGAGGTATTGTCTTCTCACTCTGACCGCAGACTCAGGATAGTCAGATCCTGGTTTGGATGTGGCACCCTCATCATCATCTCGAGCTTCCACTGAAGGCGAGGAGAATTCGGAGGATCCTGGATCTGGGTGGACTGGGAGAATCTTGAGAGGGACATGGTGGCTCTGAAAATCGCACGACCACTGCGATCATCCCACAGGCAACGTGTGGACTCCCCTCTGGATCTGTAGACGCTGGCCAAAATCAGCAGCCCCATATAGGCACAGAGATCTGTGGAGTCCACAGATCCAGGATCCTCTGAATCCTCCTCACCTTCAGTGGAGCACTAGCTTCCACTGAAAGCAGGAGGATTCTGTGGATCCTGGATCTGGGTGGATAGGGAGAAATAGTGAAGTTTGGTTTTCCACCAATGCGGAGACAATTCCCTTTCTTCAGCCTGCAAGAAGCGTGAGTTGAGGGCCGACACGCAATGCTATGGCAATGGTTCAGAACATGGATTCTGTGTTCAATCTTTTTTTTACGGAGGAGATGACGGACCTCATTGTCAGCATGACCGACCTCCATGGGCACCGCACAATGAGAAACTGGACTGGGGTGGACTCCACAGATCTCTGTGCCTACATGGGTCTACTGATTTTGGCCAGCGTTTACAGATCCAGAGGGGAGTCCACACGTTGCCTGTGGGATGATCGCAGTGGTCGTGCGATTTTCAGAGCCACCATGTCCCTCTCAAGATTCTCCCAGTCCATCCAGATCCAGGATCATCTGAATCCTCCTCGCCTTCAGTGGAAGCATGAGATGATGATGAGGGTGCCACATCCAAACCAGGATCTGACTATCCTGAGTCTGCGGTCAGAGTGAGAAGACAATACCTCCTGCAGCTCGCTGGAGGGGTCAGACTGCATAATCATCTCTAAAACTTCACTACAAGTCAAGCCCTTTCTCATGTTGCTTGCTGCTCTTCTCACCATCAAATGACAAGCGTTTATATCCACTTTTGCTTTGTTTTTGTTTAGTCTGCATTTCTCACCATCAAAAGGCAGCAGATGCATAAATACACTTACTTTGTTTTTGTTTACTCCATGTAGTTTTGAGAGCTGAAGTGTATATTTTTATTTTCTCAGACGCATCAAGGTGAGTTCTCACACTCTCTCACACACTCACGCACACACACACACTGTAATATGCTATTATACTCCATATAACTCCATGTAAAAGCCAGAAACTAACCTTTTTTTGCACAGGCCTGTCTAAAGGGTTAAATGGTTCCACCTGGTTATCAACAGTAAAAATTACAAATTTTACCTCTTCCCAACAGGGAAAACCATCAACAATCAAAAATGCATGATTTTATGGTGTCATGGCTTTACAATCAAAAAATGTGGTTATAATGGAAGTCAATGGGGCAAAAACAGCCACGAACAGTAAATGAGGAAGAAAAAGTTAAAATCTGATGCTACACAAAAACTAACAATGCATCAAAACCAATGTTGTTTCTAATCTTTGACATGTCCAAGACTTTGATAAAAGGTAAAAAAAAATCCAGTCCACAATCATATTTTATATTGAAAATAAGTCATTTTGTGTGTTTTTTTTCCCAAATCAGTGACATCATTTATGAATTTGGCAATTAAAGAGTTAAAATCCTGAATTTTTTTAAAACATTTAGTAGTTTTGATAAGGACTGAGGTCGGTTAATAGATTTATGCAAAAAAATTTGAAAAAAATATTTATCTGATACATTTTTACAGCAGTTTAAAGTAGTGGCTTTTTTCAGCCACGAACATAACGAAAGGGTAGTGAATTTGCCCAGAGTGTACTGTTGAGTTTTTGAAAAATTTCAAAGCATTTTCCCAAAATATGTGTCAAAATAAGATTTGTCACCAAAAATCATTCCATTTGCTGAAACAAGGAAAAAGTTACGGCCAAATTAAGACTAAAAAATACCCCTTAGTGGCTGAAAAAAGCCACAACAGCACATAAGGGTTAAGCAACCTTCTTTGATCCTAGGTTTAAGAACACATTTGTAACTAAGGAGAAGGAAGTGACAGAAGTACTAATGCAAAAAACTGTCACAGCTCTAATCCACAATCAGTGATTGAGTCAACTCAGGAAGAGCAGGAAGAACAAACAGCTGGCAAAAAACAAAAACGAGACTTGGGTAGCCTTCTGTCTTCTATTGTATCAGAGAAAAAAAGAAAAGAGTTGGGAAAGGGAGATGAATGTCAAGCCGGGAGGGAATCTCTAGAGATGGCGAATGACAGACTAAAGAAAGAACTCCAAATGTACAAGTCCATGGAAGAGACCAATGCCACAGACAACCCACTTTCTTGGTGGAAAAGGCATGAATCAAGCCTCCCCCTTCTTTCGATGTTTGCCAAATATTACCTTTGCATTCCAGCATCTAGCTCAGCCTCTGAGAGAGTTTTCAGTACCTCTGGCCTCATCTGTAGCCCACTTAGATCCAGACTATCAAGTGACAATATTGACACATTAGTTTTCCTGTCCAAAAATCTGCAGCTGTCAAAGGAGCTGTCAAAAAATAAGACTGAAAAGATGTGAGATTTTTCCAAAATCAAAATTTAACCTATGTTCCCTGTAGGTTTTTTTGTTGTTGTTGTCACATTTTCAATTTTTCTAGTCTGACAAGATATGAAGATATTAGCCTATTTTATTTTTTTCTAAAATCAAAAGTGAACTTACTGTATGTTCCATGACTGTAGGTTTATTTTTTTTATTTATTCATTTTTAAAAAAAATTTTTTTTTTACATTTTTATACTTTTTGTTTGCACATTTGGTACTGCAGAGAGCAGACAGAGTTTCAAGGAGTGTTTTATTAATAAAATTGTTTCAATTCGCTCAAATTTTGAGGCTGGTTATTTGTCACCTATGGTATCGATTTAGTATCGATACCGAGGTATTCGATTCTGGTATCGTACCGAAGCCAAAATTGTGGTATCGAGCCATCCCTACTCCAGAAGCTCCCACACAGCTCCAGCTGCCTCATAGTGAGCATGGCACAGATATACAGTGCCAGAAATGAATGTCATTTTATGATATGTACATTAAATTAGATGGAGAAAAATGTGCCAGTTTGGAGGAGTTCACTAAAATGCAGAGCACCTCCCACTTGTGGTTTGATGCACGTAAATTAAGAATAACTGCTAGCTCTGCAAAAAAGGTCCCTGTGCGTGCATCTACTAAGCCAGATAATTTTCTTAGAGAGCACATGTTTCCTAGGTTCCATGGGAACACTGCAACCAGGTATGGCCAGGAGAATGAGGAGGTGGCCTACGCATGGATGGAGAGCTGTGGTTAGTTGAGAAGAGAGGCACTGTAGTTAGTGTCACAGAACCATGGCTTTCTGCAAGCCCAGATGGCGTGGTTAACTCCACAGAGCTGCTGGAGATTAAATGTCCTGTTCTGGCCAAGAACTGTGCATCTTTGGCCGAAGTGTTTTCCAGCAAGCTCACAGATGTGAAGATGGTGGATGGGGTTCCACAGCTGCAACCAAATGGATCCCGTGGTTACTACCTTCAAGTCCAACTAGGTATGTTTTGTACAAGACTAGAGAGATGCAAGCTGCTTGTCTGGGCTCCATCTGAGAAAGTTGTCATTGATGTGCCATTCGATTCGGAGTATTGTTCACAAGTTATACCTAAACTCAAGTCCTTCTATTTTAGTCACATGCTGCCAAGGATTGTAGATGAGTTTCTGTCAGGCAGACTTGTACTGTGCCATAAATATGTACATATGTGTAAATAGGCTCAGGTTCTAGTCTTTAAAGGGATACTCCACTTTTTTTGGAAATAGGCTCATTTTACAACTCCCCCAGAGTTAAACAGTTGAGTTTTACAGGTTTCGAATCCATTCAGCCGATTTTCTGATATTTAGAAGAATATCAGTAACCAGACCGTTTCTGGTCTCATTGACTTCCATAGTATATATACTATGGAAGTCAATTAGATATTCTTCTAAATATCAGAAAATCGGCTGAATACATTTGAAAATGGTAAAATTCGACTGTTTAACTCTGGGGGAGTTGTAAAATGAGCCTATTTCCAAAAAAAAAAAGTGGAGGATCCCTTTAACCTGCTGTATGGACATGCCAGACATTAGCTTTCCTTTGTCTGCGTTAATGTGTTGATACCTAACTGTTAATAATTGTTATGCTGTCCCTTTGTTAGCCTAGTTCCTTGGTGTTTTTCTTGTTATAGCTAGTGTAGTTTGTTTTCTTGTTATAACATGATGATGTTTTACCATTTTAATAGTAATTGAGATTATAATTAATATGTATAATACATGGCCTACAAATTATGCCATAAGTGAAATGTTTAAATGTAGTGTTATTTTACCATTTTAAAAGTGAATACTTGTAAATACATTCAATGTAAAGAAATGAAATGAGTTAATAAATTAGTGAAATACTATAACTTCTTGCCTCCTAGTCTTCTTTTTTAGTTATTTACATAACATACACTCGATCAAAATATGACTAAATAAAACAAATTACATTAGCAATTCAAATTAATAAAGATAGAAAATTTTAATAATACACATTTTAGTTGGACAAGTTAAATATGTTTTTGTATCTGTAATTAATTAAATAATCTAAAAATAAGTTGATATTATACAATACCTGAAAAGTCATTACAAAATTGAAAACATTAAGGTGTCACAAACTATTTAGTATAAAACCTGAGATTCAAAACACATCCTACTGTATTATAATTACATTTTACAATTTATTATAAAATAACTAATCAGCAGTGCAGAATAGAGATATCTGAAAAATAGACTATTAAAGACAAATCAGATGAGAAAACTATAGTACTATCAAGGGACTGCAGGCTGTCAAATAAATATTTACAAATATTATGGATAATATATGTCCATGATCAATCAGCATCCTCGTGGATGATTTCCCCCTGCATGTTCACAAGGGCCGCACAGATTCTGAGGATTTTGTCCATTTTGTGTGACAAGTTGATGGGTACAGTCTGGGAGATTATTTTGAACACCTTGAGCCTCCTGATAACTCTTTCCACATGAATGCGAACATTTGCAATCCTCCTTGTGGCAGTTACGTCCTCATCAGACAACTGCCCTCCTTTATGGGTGAATGCTGGTAGAACAAGGTTAACCCTTCTCTCAAACAGCAGATCTCTGATGGTAAAGCCTCTGTCTGCCATCACTTCATCACCGGGACGAAGATACTCCAGAAAGCCAGACTCCTGAGTGATGAACTTGTCACTACACCTGCCTCCATAAGCAGGAGAAATGAACATAACAAGCCCACACGGGGCAATAGCAACTAAATACTTTATAGTATTGCTGGAATAATAATGGCTGTAGGACTCGCCTCTGGAGTCAAGGTTGTGTGGTTTCTGCAGGTTGGTCTCACTGCAGTCAATGATGCAGGTGGTGTTGGGGAACTTCTCCCTGAAGCACTGAGGCATTGTGCTCCGGATTGTCTCCCGTGGCAGCCAAGGAATGAAGATTCTCATGTGCTCCTCCATTGTGTCTATCCAGTAGGAGAGGATCCGGCTCACTAACCCCTGGGACACAGCAAAGCGTTCTGCAAGATCACCCTGGAGTAGATTCAACTTTAGTTTCATCATGGTCATCAAAATTTGATCCATTTCGTGCATCTTAAAGTTTGCTTTATAGAACTGTTCCAGATATTTTACATGATCAAAAAATGCATTGAGAGAAAGGCCTGTGTACAACACGCAGCTAGTGTCATTCTTCAGGATGGCATGGGCAAGGGGTACTTCTCCACCACATTGTGTTTCTCTGTCGCATACATCCTTCATCTTTCCTTCTAATGTGTAGGTGTGATCCATCAGTGCCTGCACCTCCCACTGAGTGTCAGCATCTTTATGCAGAGGTGACTCTGACTGTGGAATGGTCTGGTCAGCCTCCTCATCACAGTGGCTGTCATCTGCCAAACATAAGACCACATTAGCTCAGTTTAGCAAACAACATAAAACATACCTAGAATACTTACAACTACCTTAACAGCAAGTTATAGAGCAACACCTGTATTAGTGCTCATTCAAATAATCATATTGCATATATTGCCTCCAATTTTTACAAATGTCCTGGGCTAGCAGGGATGAGAAAAATACAAATATATCATTAACCTTTGTGCATCCTTATGGACATTTTTGTTCTTTTCAGTTGTTGTTTTTAATCACTAACAGCATAATATTGATGTCAATGCTAACAGCATAAAATTTGGCAGGTTCAACACATAGAGCCAATTGGGTAATAATATTGAAAGAGAGACTATTCAACTACTAACAAATACAATCACTGTGTGCACTAGTGGAATTTTGCTGGCACCCACTGGAGAACATCTGATACTGCACCCAATCAAAATCTTACCAAAAGCTATTTTTTTTAGATATATGGCTTTGATTTTCTAGCTGTTTTAGAGTTCAACTCGTTTCTTAAAATATATAATTTATATAAAATAATGTTCATATATAATTTTCATAAACTTAAACCTATGTACTTATTATTTATTACTTCAGCAATTATCTGCCACGTGTCTTCTTTCAAATGATACCAAACTTAAGTCTGTGTTCCCAAGCTTAAAAGTTTATGACAGTTTTTTGACACAGACATTTTTGTCCTCTATGTAACTTCTTATAATTGATGCACAATGGATAAATAAAAAGAGAGAACAAACTTAAAAGACAGTTGGCTTTATGTGAAAGAAATTAACTGTCAAGAGGGACACAAACTGAGAACTAACAAGAGTGTACATTACCTGTGTCTGCTAACCTCTGGACACGTCTCCTTGGTGTTTTTATTGGGACCTCGTAGCCCAGCCACTTTTCTGGAATCGGGTGGTCTTCTGTGGGTCTTTTGTCCACGAAATGAAAAGAACAAACATACGGTCGCTTCGGTGGTTTCTTCAAATTTAAAGCCTTTAACCACAGGCGAAGGGATTCCTCATTCTTCGGTGGGGGGTGAAGGTCGTAGGGCGCCTCGTATCCACATTCAGCTTTCGTATGCGATCGATGATCAAAACACTTTAAATTTCGTGACTATATCACGAACTGCCGTGAGACTGGGTTGGGGAAGATGCTGAGCTCTGAAGAAATCCGGAGACAATTCAGCTGCCCTCCACTGGTCAAACTGCAAAGACTGACCAAACAAATTCAGATGCAAAAAATATCCATATGAGCCCTGAACTGCAAGTTGTACAAATTTCTTTCCGCTGTATGTAATAGTCTAGTTTACGACAACTTTGGTATTCAAAAAAGTCACCAGTTCTTCCTCATAATCTCCAAACTCATCCAAACTCGTCGCAGAATAAACCAGAAAACGTTACAAAAAAATAAAAAATAAAAAAAAATGAATGGGCATACTACACCCGTCGCCATCTTTGCATGTGACCTCATATCAGCCCACCTACAAAATGCAAACCAACTGTGTGTGCAGTCTGCTTGCGTGAGCAGTCAATTGCTATCTGGGACTTAAGTCGAGAAGGCCCTTTCTGTTTTCTTGCATTTCAGACACAAATTAACATCCCCTCGAATTGTGTCTGAAATAAAAGAAAACAGTAAGAGATTACACGGTTACTGACTTGACAGTGAAATTAAAATTGGTTAGGGATACATCATAGCAAGCAGTTACACTGTTAAAAGTCTAACCATCTGGTGACAATAAATATGTGCCTGGAGCTTCCTCAACAGGTTTCGTCGTTCTTTTCATCTCTGCAGAATCTCTAGCCTAATAAAGTTTAACATTAGTCATGTGATTTCATAAATAAAACAAAATCAAGAAAAATCACACTGTACTTACCAGTCTGTGGATATGTGAGATTTCCTTCATCGACCTCACTCTCTTCATCGACCTCACTCTGTGCACTTGAATCAGTCAAAAAAGAAAATAAATTATATAACCTTGATGAATAATGAGATTCAAGTGCTATAGATTGCCTACATACAATGTGAACACACATGAAAACACATTTGTTAGAAACAGTTCTAATTTTTAATGTAAACAACTTTAAATGGCATTACCTTCAATTTCAATCTCCTCAAGCGTTTTGCCTTGAAGGCTTCTGAGAGACCCTTTCTCCATGGCAAGCAGTAGTTTGGAGATTTTGGCCAGCTGGGTAGTAGCCTCTGGCAGTCGGTAATACTCTCGGTGAACGCGAATATCATGGCCAAGGAAGTTAGCAACCTGGTCCAACTCATGATTCTTGAGGTTTAAGATCTGTGACAAAGTTGCGACATGTTTCCGTAATAGCGTCGACCTGAGGAGCTCAGGTTTTTCAGCCCCACATTCACCCGCATAGAGCCTCAAACAGTCCTGTCCTCTGTAGGGAGTCAGACAATGAGGTCTAGCAAACAGGAACAGGTTTTCTGCCAGAACACCACAGTCTTTTCTTTTATCTATTAGGCGTGTTATGGCCTTCACCATGTCTGGTGAAAGTAACACCGCAACTTTCCGGCCTCTTTACCCCTTAATTCAACACGACTGAAGTGTTGACAAAGGTGAAGTTCAAATTGTGTCAGTCCAAAAGCGACATCCTTGTTCAGGGCACTTGTGTCTCTCTCTAGAAAGCCATTCAGCGTCATCTTTGAAATTTCTCCCCTCTTCTCCTGTTAAAAAGTATTACATTTGCCATGGTGGCTTTACAAAGTTCACTATATGATTTTGGTGAACTGTGGTCTTCCAAGTCCTTCAATGCTTGTTCTGTTATCTTTTCCAGATGAAGACACTGAACGTCTTCCGTAAAAGGAAGAGTAGAAGGCTTGTTGAAGTGACGCTCATTCAGCGTAGTTAAAGCGGTGTGGGAGATGAGTTCAGACCACTTTGTAGCATAGAGGGTTTTGAAACTCTGGGTTGACTTTATCAGGTTACTGTCTTGCGCCATCAGTGCTCTGCAATGTAAAATGTCACTGACTTTCTGCAGTGAGTGACCCAACTTTAATGCAAGGCTTGGAGTACGGTAACAGTGCTTTTCATCATCGTACCCAGACACTTTCTTGACAGCTTTGATCACCACATCAAAATGAGCAGGTCTCACAGCATCCTCAAGGGTATGTATTGAGAACTCCTTGCGAAGTATAAGCAGAAGTCTTCCACTTTCTCTGAGCGTCTGGCGAATATAGTCGTATTTGGTGGGATCCTGACCATGTTTGTTAAAAAATGAGTGGGCCAGCTGAAGAATAGAATAGTCACTTCGCACAGTAGCAGTTATCTCATCATCTTTCATGACAGCTAACATCTTCCAAACACCTGGGGATATTTGCTGACACAGAGCTGACTCATTCATAGAGGACCAAGACAAGACCTTTTTTCTTCCAATCTCTGAATTGGCTTCTACTGGTTTTGAAGAACATTTTTTAACATGTCGCCACAGATCTCTTCGGAGATATAATGCCTGGCAGTACATGCAGTGAATATAGTCTTTTGCATTGTATTTTGTCTTTGCTGTGTGTCTTACTTTTAGGGATCCAACTCCACTTGATAAGACCTCTGAGTTATGGGTGTGGTTTCCCTTGTTGCGTAGCTTTATAAGCATTTTCTGGCGCTGTTTGGACTTCTTGGGAAGACTTAAAACTTGAGCAACATCTGCATGCATTTTCTCATGACGTTTTAGGTGACGTGTAAACTTTATCTGTAGTTTTCCACAAATGTAGCAGTAAGCTTTATTTTTGAGAGAGGAGGATGTGTTTGAGACATGTTCAGCCCAGCATCAGCGCTATCAACATTTATGCCTTCAGCATTTCCTACTTTGGCAGTAACTTCTGATACTTCAATCTGACTTGTGCTGATTGCATCTTCAGATAAGGATTCTGCAGCTTCAAAAACGGACCGTCTCTCTACAAAACTTTCTTGATGTCTTTTCTTTTTTGAAGCAGACTTGTTGGTGGACACCTCAAAATTCTGTAATTCTAAATGTCTGCGTTAGAGGCTCTGCTATGCTGTCCCATGAGCTGTTTGAATCAGCTGTGGAATCAGGCACATATTCCTCTTCTGATGATGCCACCTCACTTGAACTTTTTTCTTCACAGACCTGATAATGATTAAAAAATACATTTATATTATGTGCACTGGAAAGCATTTCACTGAGAATAATTCTACTAAAACACTTACCACTGGCAGAGGTTCAGTGATGTTCACATTGTGCTTAACATAACACTTTTTGTGCCAGGACTTGTAGCAAACTAGACAGAGAAAATTAAGAATTAATAAAGGAAGATAGTGAATAACGTCATGGTAAGTAAAAGTGCGTGCAGATGCCTGCAAATGGCTCATCTTGAACATAGCAGTTACACATGGAACCGTTTTTAAAGGGCACCTATTATGCCCCTTTTTACAAGATGTAATATTGGTCTCAGGTGTCCCCAGAATGTATTTGTGAAGTTTCAGCTCAAAATACCCAACAGTTAATTTATTATAACCATTTAAAAATGACATTTTGGGGCCTCTTTAAAAATGAGCTGTTTTGGAGGTATACCACCTTAAATGCAAATGAGCTGCATTTCCCCGCCCTGCCTTTGGATGAGGGCGTAACTTGATACCTATCGGCAGTCACTCTAAGCAGACGGGCTGAGAGACGCGCTGTTTTGAATGTCATTCAGCGTACGTTTGAATCGGAATATATTCACGTGTTATAGTTTAAGTCATCGTTTTACTGTTGTTGTTGTTTTGTTTTTTTATCGACGAGGTTTAGCAAAGACAGATATCATGTGGCCCATCAAAAACAAATTATTTTGTGGGCAAACGATCTAGCTTCATGCACGGAATGGATCAATTCTCACGAGAATGTACTGAAAAACTAAGACGACCATATCGTTTCACAAGCAAACAGCCTGTGGATATAAAATTATTCTTACCCCCCTCCCCCCCC